TTCATTATCCATGTGTGTGATATAAATTTATATTGTGCCTAAGAATTATTTGGAAGCCAAGCTAACCTTAGTCTTATCCATTCGGCCATCATGGATCTTTTTTTTATTTCATGCATTTTTCAAGTGAGAGACCAAGTCATAACAACTTCCCTTAATCCTTGGCCAATCCTAATCACCTTCTCAGCCGCAAATCATCAAGGGAAGACTTAGTCCTTAACCATCTCCATGAGACTAGCACTTCACTCACCCACCACTCCATTCTTTTAAAATTTAAATCCTCAATCCCAAATCTTTAAAGTCTTAAACGACCTCAGCATCCATTTTACGACCCCCCATCAGAAAGCTTAAAGAAAGAAAAGTCCCTCAGCCCCTTAGCATAAACTCCAACAACTTCATTTGTTTCAAACATATAGTAAAACCGAGCACCACACCACGCGTACCGACGACCGCCGAGAGCTTTCACGCATTCCGAGCAGCAGCAACCCTCTCTCATCAGTTTTTCCCGCAGCACCTAAGCCTTACCTCAGTCCAAAGCGAGCCATAGAAGCAAGAAAACAAGCCAAAATCAAAGCCTGCGTGAACCCATCATACCAAGGCCATCCCCGACCCGCTTTTGATTTCCTTCTTCTTTAAGCCCTTTTTGTAAGGTAATAAAAGTTGAACCTTTTAGCCTTAAAAGTGGTCGATTTTATGTGTTTTATATTGTTGAAGTTTCAGTTTTTAATAGAATTTTAATGGCATGCTTTTTACTTAGATAAAAATGAAGAGGAAATGAGATTAGTTTCATGTGTTAGTTGAGCCTTATGCATTGCCATGTTGTTGAGCTTTATGTTATGTTCTTAACTGCTATACATGAAGTTAGATAGAACTTTATCTCAGATTTGCTAGGGCCTTATCATGTGTTGTATGTGCTTGAGTAAAGAAAGTGAAATTAAGGCTCATTGGTGTTGATTGCCTTGGCCATGTATCATGTTTGTTGCTGAACCTCTGTTATGTTTTGAGCATGCTGAAATTTTATGTACTCAGAGCCTTGAATTCAGTTTTAAAGGCCTTCGCTTATGAAGTGAGAGTTGTGAGAAAAAGGAATGAAAAAAAAGGATCATGTATGTTGTGTTTTGAATCGTGTTTTGCCATATATGTTGTTGTGCATTTTTCTTTGATTTTATTGTTGTTTTATTTTGCTGTTACCTATTTGTGTGGTTTATTTTGTTATGTTGTTTAATTGTTTCATGTTCAGACTTTGATTGGAGTAAGTGTACCTTAATTGGTGTTAAATTATTACATGAGAAATGAAAGAAGAATAAATAAGACATAAATTTATGTTATATTAGTATTCATGAGTCTAAGCATGCAGTGGTGCTTAATGTAGTAAAGTGCTGCCATCTTAATCAATGGAGAGAGATTTTGTCATGACTGTAGTTATATTTTGGAGTTGGTTGTACTAGTTAGGATTAAGGATACAATTATTAATTATAATATTCCCATGATTTACTTCTGTTAATTGTCGAAAATGGCATGCACTTTTATACTTATTAATTATGTATTTTGTGTGCTTATGTTCTTACTTCCTATGATGTGATTTTATAAAATTT